AAAAATAAATCCTTACATGGATAGAAGAGAAAAAATGAAAAGCAGTAAATGCTGATGACAAAAATCATAGGCTGCATGGTCCTTTTACACTGGTAATCACAACCACTTTGCATATTGCACATTTTAAAATCTACTAAAATTATCTGTGGCGTAAGAAAATAAGACTGATGTTTTAACACCAACGTAATTTTTCTGACAGTGATGAAAGACAAATGTTACAAAGCCCATGTGATCTTCTTTTGGACTTTGGATCTGAAGTTGCATTCAAAGACATAGTAAAGCGTCAGCTAATTCTTACCAATCACACTGGAATCAGTGCTCCATTCAAACTAGAAGCTGACTATTTTACTGGCTATTCACTTACTCCAGAACAAGGAATCTGCCTGTAAGTCTTGCTTTTCTGCATAATGACTCAAATACTAATTTAGGTCTGGATTAAATCTGAAGTCAGGACAGAGTGCTATTGCCTCTGTCATGAGATATGCTTTCTGCAGTGCTCTGGTGGGGTTTTTTTTAAGCTCTTACTCTGACTGTGGTAATGAAACCTGCTGGTGAGGTTTCCTGCAGAAACAGATATCTTGCAGTGCAAGGACAGAAGATTTAGCTCGTGGAAATGGCAAAACAGTCTTGTTGCCAATGTTCGCTGGTTTACACCGGGCAAGGCTCTGTTGTGTTAGATTGTACAGAGTCTTACAACTCTCAAGTTGATTCACTCTTACAGATGTCATTTTCAAAAAATGCTTTGTAGGCAGTCCTTCTTTAGGTTATAATGGCCACTAATTTAGGAGTCAGGTAGAGCTGTTACTTTAGCAGAGTCCTTCTCATTGCACAGAATTGTTGTTGTGATTTTCTTATTTTTTCAAGCTCCTCAAGCTACCTGGTGAAAAGAAGAGGGCCTATCACAAAACATGCAGCCAGAAGAGCACAGTCAGGTATGAGAGTAGCTGTTAATCCCATCAGTGGAGAGAAGGCAAAAGCCAACTGACTACCACATTCCAGTCGGGCACATCATGCCATTCTTAGTGTATCTGGCTAAGTCTACACTGTTAAATGACTTAGTTCTCCAGTTCATTCTTGCGTTTGAAAGCCCACATTCCATAAGCATTAGGCCAATCTCTCACCCCCCTCTTTTTCTCTCTCCCCCTGCACCCTGCTCTCTCTCTTTCCCATTCCCTTTCTTTCTCTTTCCTCTTCTTTTTCTTGAAAACAACAGTCTGAAACAAAAATGGATGATTTTGGTGATAGATCACTCCCAGGATCACTCGCAGCACACAATATGGATGACATGCATAACGTTTGACTATTTCCCTCCTACACAGTCTTCCAATACCATTGCAGCAGGCTTTTCTCCCTCGAACCCTTTTATACCTTCCCACTGCGGAAAGCTACAGCACAGCCCACCTATCATTTCTGATGTGTTGTACTGAAAAATAATAATATTTGGAGCCACATGAGACCCAGGGAGGGGGAAACTAGGAGCAAAATGCTATAAAGTGTGGATGTGTCTTCTGTATCCAAAACAAAACTTGGACATATTGGTACCTTGCCATAGTGTTTGGTATCTGTTACAAAGACAGAGCTTTTCAGCTGTTGAATTAGTACTTAAGATTGGAAAAATGCTGTTCTGACAGATTCCATGCAAGCTTATTGATTTAGAAGGCTAGGTGACTCAGAATGTGGAAAGGCTTTGCTCTTTGTAATTCATTCTTTGTGCTGAAGAGCACACAGAGGTAAACAGGCAGCTGCTAACAGAATGATAACCAGTTAGCACAAATTCCAGCTTCTTTTTCTCAAATTGATGGTGTGTTTTCATGTAACCAGTTAGTGCCTTGCATATCCCAAAGAGTCCTGGATCAGGTTGTTGGAAGGGAGTCCTTCTACAAAACAACCTCTTCAAGAACTGAGTCTCAAAAAACAGATTAAGACCCACTGCAGAAGGGAACTTGGGTAAAGTGGTGTAAATGTGGGGTGTGTAAATGATCCCAGGTTTTTTTGAAGCCAGTGGGGTTAGGCTGATTAACACCAGCTAAAAATATGGTCCTATATATTCTTTGAAAGACTAACTTTGTTCCATTTCCTCAAAATTCATCAAATGCTTCTTTGCTGTGCTCCTTCAGAGTTTGCAGCAGCAGTGCTGTCTCATGGGAAGGGAGTAGCTTTCCATATACAACCTTCCACAGGAACTCTGAAAGCCTTCCAGCAGCTAATCATAGAAATAACAGCTTACAACAACATGTGGGGAGAGTACCAGGATGATCTTGTCTGTAAGGTAGGTGGGGCTTCAGTTTTAAGTGAAATATTGCTTTGGCAGATTTTATACCAATTATATTTCCCAGATTCCTTTCTGTTAAAAATACTTTTTTCCATTTGTTAGCACTTCTGTAAAAATTCAGGGTAGATACTGCTATACCGCTACCTCCGATGACGTGTAAGGAACAACTGGTTGCTCTTACAGTGCGCAGTTTAGTTTTGGGGTAACATGTTTATCCCTTGGGAGATTTTCATGTGCCTTTAAAATGACTGGAGCAGTTTTGATTTATAAAATCTGTTTGGTAGCTGGCCAGTGCACTACTCTGCTCTACCAATACAATATATTGTGTTATTTGGAAACGCCGCAGTAAAGCTGATGAATGTATGAGGTATTGCATTCTCCTGCCGAGAAGAGCTTTCGTTAGCATATGAATTAGATGCTGTCAAAAGAAACTAGTCAAAAATATTTGAAAGTCCAATCAGTTTTCAAAGCATAATTTTGTAACCCAGAGAACTAAAGTTTGATCTTGATTCTAATAGCAAAAATTCATTTTTAATAGGTGGGAGACTTACAACCTAAATTAATTCATATGCAAATGACTGTGAAAGGCTGTCCAATATTCCTACAGATGACAGGACCACAAACAGAGCAACCCATAATCAGGTATAGCACAAAAGACTGTCAGAGAAGTCGGAGAATTAAATACCATTGGACTATAGCCAACATACACACCTGTTCCCATCTTCTTGTGATATAATGAAAAGGTCAGCCAAGTGACTGTCAAAGTACAGTATCTGCTTCTATAACACCAGTGCATTTGTCTCTGCCATCATAATTAGAAAATAATCTGCAAATAAGCCTTCTCAAGTTTACTCGCAGTCACTGTTCTGGGCTTACAGTCATAGAAGTTCACCCAGTCCAGCCTTGTCTAATTCTGTGGAGACGGAAACTGATACTCGGTGCCAATTCTCATCACCATCCATGGTTCACTTCTCCCTGTCCCTTTACCTGGACCAGGAGAAATGCAGCCCCAAGGTAAAAACAGGGGCAGGGGAAGGTTTAAGCCCTCTCGTACAGCAAGTTGCATTTGCACATCTGGGTGAGGGGTAAGAGCTGGTTTACAGGGACCACGGCACTACACACCCGGCCAGCTGCCATACAGCATGACTGCTTTCTGGCTTGGGAGGAATTAGCATCATGTATCATACTGCAGCCAAGAGCATTTGCAGTGTCAGCTCTGTAACAGGGCATAGAAAATGGATTTGGCTGTCCACCATAAAAAAAACCCTTATGCACCTGGAAATCAGTCTGACATGGGTCACTTCACTGCTGTGTAGCCATTTGTTGCTGCTGCCAGAGTGTTTCACAAAAGCTGACTTCACATGTTTACCCTGAAATGTCTGAGACAACTAAGAAAACTGGAAAAAAAGAGGCTGATGAAATAAAGCAATATTGTACTTCACAGTGTAGGCCATACTTTATCTGATAGCGGCTCATAACAGGCTGCCAGTGCAGCCAGGTATGTTTCCACTTTTAAACAAATCTTTAATGATTTCAGACATTCACTTTAATTTTCTGCATGTACTGACAGCAAGGTTCCCCCCCTCAGGTTTGGCACTACTGTCTCTGGAGGGTCTCCTGTCTTTCGCAGAGTCCAGCTCAACAATCCCACTCCCTTTGGTAAGAATGACTTTTGTACAGCAAACATGAACACTTGCATTGCATTCTTTATGATAATAAAACCCCATTAACATGTTAATTAACAGGCCTACTTGTTTCCTAGTCAAGATGGTTTTTGTAAAAAAATAATAATATATAAGAGAGCGTCTAAGCTGTTTTCTAACTTAGCTAGCACAGAACAATAATACATGTTGTCAGGTCTTTATATGCCTAGTAGTATTTATCATTATGACATTACTGCTGTGAATATTGGTTTGCTTTCTGTAACAGTAAAGCAGGTAAGCTCCAGCCAGAGTGTAGTAGAATACACGTAATTGACTCAGTGTGGTGTTACTATGAAATTGCACGTCCTATCCTGATGTGTCTGGGTTTTCGCTCATTGAAATGATGGCAATTCAGGATTTTCCATCCTGTTTTTGTAAATCTCTCACAGCACTAACCCTTGGTCAATCAGATGTGCTACGTGCTTCTTACTGGCATCATCTAGCTCTTCTGTGTTTAGTCTTTTTATCTCTTGAGTGATATTTTAAGCTCTTCACAGCAAAGGTCAATCGCTTTTTTTTTCCCAAATGCCACCAAACATATTTGCTTAACAAACAAAATACTCATAATTTATTTTAATGTTAATAAAAGTATTGTTTAGGACCTAAAGAGTGGCCAAGCTATAATAAGAGCATAGCACACGGTCTTAAATCATTTTAGTTTACAGCAAACATGAAGAGCTTAAGATACGCTTTAATACAAATCCAGTTGCTAGACACAAATTCATTACTTAGTATTCTGGTTCTCCCCTACCAGCTAAGCTCTGAGTCTTCTCAATGACCAGAAGTATTTGTTCTTTCTCCTTTTCAATTCAGACATCCGCCTGGACTGGGAAATTTACAACCAAGAGCAAGATGATAAAAAGCTGGTGGACCTGTTGATGTTCTTTGGAGACCCTTTTCCTCCTAAGGACGTGGATGAAAATGAGACTGCATCAATTGGTAGCACCTCAGAGTCAGAGATCGTGTTAAAGTTGGATCAAACTGCCATTCCCCACGGAAGCATTTATCCAGCTTTGCAAACCACAGATGAGGTCAGCTGTTAGTCTGTTTTTTATACTGCTGCTGAGATACATGATGGGTTTCTTGGCATGAAAGGTTGAAAACAATAACACGCGATATAACTTGTAACTAAGAGCTGGATTGTTAAAAGAAATGTCAGCTCCTCTCTCAGTCAAAAAGGCAGTGTCTGGGTAGATGGCTATTGGTATCAGCAATCAGTTTCCAGAATGAGCTATAAGCAAATAGCTCTTCAGCTTCTCCTTTTCTTAAAATTGTTAAAGAAGCTGATGAGATACTTCTTAAAATACTGTCACTGAAAAACTAATGCCATTTTTACATGAAAGTGTTAAATAACTGAAACAGCTTAATTTGGGTCTACTTTTCTCATGGGTGCTTTATAGTGTGTCAATGTGAGCTGTAGTCAGGGAGTAGAATCTAACCTGCGAGTAGAATCTAACCTGTGAAGTTCAAATTGCAGCTAATGATACGGAGGTATTTTTCCCAGTGCTAGAGTTAGATTGGTTCTATTACTCTGTTAGAATATGGTAACATTTATTCCACATGCAGCTTGGTTATAATATGGCAATTTACCGTCTTGAAGGGCTGGGAGTGACAGGGGGAAGGTATCAAACAGGATAGGTATATTTCTCTGGCAAAAGCTTTACAGAAAAGATACTAAAATCTTGTTTTCTCTTCTTCAGCTCAGAAGGCATAGTTGTTTTGAATACACCGCTAACCTTTCTTGTGCAACAAGGGAACATTATTGCCCTAGAGTGCTGGTTTGTACAATGGGCCAGGGATGTCACAGTTGACTGCTTCTCTGGGTAGAAGAGGACCCAAGCACACACATTTTCCAAGGAGTTCAGGAGTGGTTTCAGGAGAGCGAACTTATGCATGAAAAAATTAATGTACGGGACACATCCACATGTCAAGCTTTTGTGCCAGAAAGAAAGAAACTGGAGCTGGCCATGCTTACTGCCTAGTGCAGCAGTTCCCTGTGCACTTCACTTGCATTCCTCCTTTGCAGCGTAACTGTTTTAACCATTCCCCACCCTTGTGTCTCTGCAGTCTTCAGACTCTGACAGCAAAGAGAAGGAAATCATCACTCAAGAACCTACAATACAGAAAATTGTCTCTATGCTTATACGACCTCATGAAGGGGTTCCTGCAGACAACCCCTACTCCATTACCCCAAGACAGATTGTAAGCTTTTACATTTTCTTTGTGTTTAGATTTAGCATATTTTCTGCAGGACAGAGGAGACATCTCAGAAGGCATAGAGAAGGAGGAGGCGGCAGCTTTGGTTTGAGGTAGAGACTGCTAAACAGTGAAACAGTAGGCTGGGAGGCTTTGGGATCTTGAAGATGACCATAAGAAGAGTTTGCAAAGTCAACAGAAAAAAAGAGTGTCTTACCTATGTTTGAGCAGTTCACTGATGACTGGAATTAAGTATTCAGTTGTACCAGGCTCTCAAGAGTGGCATCTGTGGTCTTCTCACTTGTGTTGCCTTGGGAAATGTGTGGCATTAGGTGGGGGGCATCCAGCGTGAAACTTTGGAAGCACATTATTTAACCAGCCTAGATTTGCTAAGTAGACATGGCAGAGCTGGAAAGCAGGCTGCTGGGGAAGGGGTGCTCTGTAGGCAGCTCTTTTGGATAAACTGTTGTAACCTGCAGTACTTCAAAAGTAACTGGTGCAAATAGGGGCCACCACAATTCCTTAGGAATGTGATAAAGCAAAGACAGCACTGGAAAGATCTAACTATGAGTGACAGTGTTGCCCAAAACATCAGTGTGTCAATTTTGATTCTTAAATATTAGCAAGTTTTTTGCCAAAGGGTTTCAGTTACAAGTTCGAATGAGCTAACGATTACATAAAATAAATAATTACAGAAATGGCATTTCAAAGAAATGAAGCCTACAGTCAGCCCTGGGGTGATTGAGCCTGAGATGGTTCGGATAAACAAGTGCCTCATTGTGGAGGCAGCCTCTATTGGGTGTAGCCACCAGTGAGTTTGGCCCATGTGGAATGGAGTTGATGCCTATGGAGTCATTCAGGTAGTCCTCTGCAGAAATGTTCTCTGTGTTTCTACTGTTGCTCCAGGAAGGTCTGTTAGCTCAGGTGTTGTGCAGCACAGCTGGCCAGACCTGGCTTAAGTCCATGTCTGAACAGCTAAGCTCTCTATGACCACAATGCACAGACCCAGCAGTGTTGTAGGATGTGACAGAGCTTACTAGCTCTTAGGCAGAGCTTTACAGACTCACAGACTGGTCAGGGTTGGAAAGGACCTCTGGAGATCATCCAGTCCAACCCCACTGCCAAAGCAGGGTCACCTACAGCAGTTGCACAGGATCGTGTCCAGGTGAGTTTTGAATATCTCCAGAGAAGGAGACTCCACAGCCTCTCTGGGCAGTCTCTTCCAGTGCTCTGCCACCCTCAAAGTACAGAAGCTCTTCCTCAGGTTCAGGTGGAACTTCCCAAGTTTCAGTTTATGCCCGTTGCCCCCTAACCTGTTGCTGGGCACCACTGAAAAGTCTGGCCTCACCCTCTTGACACCCACCCTTAAAGTATTCATAAGCATGGATGAGATCCCCTCTCAGTCTTTTCCAGGCTGAACAGACCCAGTTCCCTCAGCCTTTCTTATGCTCCTCACCACTCTGAGCAGGGGAACGTAGTGCAAGGAGAGCTGAGCTAGTTTTGCTTCTACTGAATGCAGGTCCAACGAGACCAAAAACATCTCGCCCTGTGAACACATGAAATGAGGGAGTTGATGTCTACACAGTGCTAGCCTGAAAGCAGTGCATGTCATATGGACCCTGAGCTGATAAACTTGGCTGGACGTGAATTGGCTCTGTAGGGAGATGGCAAAGGGTTTTCTGCAGCAATAGCAGGATTTAATCATAACCTGCATAATGCACCTAAAGAAAGCAGTATCTATTCAACCTGTAAATCCCAGAAAATCCACTGTAGTTGGCGAGAGCATTTGATTACATTCCCTGCTGTTGCATAAAATAAAAAAAATAGCCAAGAGTAAACTGAACTGTAAAATACTCTTAATTCAGACTTATAACTCTTAAAAAAATGTTTCTTGTGAGAGCTGTCCATTGTTGGAGAATCATCCAAGTTAGCCATGGAGTAAAAGTGGGCAGAACTGGGTATTTTTAAAAACAAGCAGGTATGTACATACATTTGTGTGCTTAGAGAGCTGGTCTGTGACTGTGCTTAAACTCTGTTGATGCTAAAGAGTGGCTACACTGATATTTGCAGCTGAAATAATTGTCGGTTTAGTTGTCACATGTTGTCATTTTAGTGCAAGCCTGAGCGTAGCCCATCCCCAGGAGGCTTCATGCTGCTTTAGCAGCGGAGTGCGAAGGATGCTTGTGCAACCCCCGGCAGCTCCCGGCACTCACAGTTCTCTCTCGGCTGCAGGTGGTTCCAGGAGGTGGCAGCAGCTCCGTTTACATCTCCTTCACCCCACGCGTCCTCCCACAGACCGTGACTGAAGCGCAGTGTGAAGGGTTTGTGCTGGGTTTCATGAGCCTAGACGACAAGGTAAACTGACTATCACAGCAAGGCTAAAGACAACTAGAAAAATAATCATTTTCTTTCCTGTAATTTAGGTACAGGCTGCTGTGTACCTGGCCAGTCTGTATAAACAGTCCTGTTCCTGCTACCCTGTACATCCTTCCTTAACTAGGGTTGTTCGTTTGTTGCATTTGTCTTTTAGCTTGGAAGCGTTCTGGGGTGGGAATGTCACCATCTTCTTACATTGTCTGGTGCAGTAGACCTCAGACAAAAGCCTAGGATTTGAAACGCTATCACAACATTGGGGTTTATTGATAACAGTAGTTAACAATGGGACTGAGGCTCAGGACTGCTGAGTTCTGTTCCTGGCTCGGCATCCACCTTCCTGTGTGAATTTGGACAGCATATCTCTCCTCCAGGAAACTTCCTCTTCAGCAACTGCAAGTGCAGCTCACAGGCTAATGTGAGACTTGAATAGTGTTTTATGAATTGCTCTGCGATTCTCTGACACGAATCATTGCAAACGTGCAAGGTGTAATGAATGAATGACAATAGAATATTTAATAAAAACATCCCTAATCTTCCTGATTCCTGGAGGAAGAAACATCTGCATCTGTATTAACCACAGCCATTCAGAGTTCAACTACTGCTTAGCTTTTACTCTTCTTTGCATGTTGCCATCTTGTCTTACAAACAGGCAATACATTGTCAAGCAGAATCCTATTTTGGCTAACAGCCTCTCAGGCTAAAAGTAGGGATTCAGGTTTTAGTGCTATCATTTTATACATCATTTCTGTTTTCATTTTGTTGTCAGCTTGCAAAGACAGTGCCTAACAAAGTGCATCGCAGACATGGCTATGAAGCTCCACCGTTACGAGTAGACTTGCAAGCGTTCGTAAGGCACGCTCTGTAAGTACCATCGCGCTGATGGCTGGTACGCTCGCAGAGTCCGTCAGCCCGGAGGGCAGGGCTCTGACCAGCTCTGATTCTTCACACACAGGTTAAAAGTAGACATGGATCATGACAGAGGAATGGTATTTTATTCGATGGCAAGTGACCTCATACCAGATCAGCCTCTGTTAGGAGTAAGTATTCCACGCACCGATGTATTCAGCTGGTTTGTACTGCTGTGCTACTGCAAGATAGAGCTGTATGCGCATGGTTTTTAAAATGCATCTTTATCCCCAGTAGCTTCATTTTGCATTTTTTTTATATTGCACACAACAAGACAGGTAAAACAAAAGGACTGCAAGTACTCATTACCCAGGAATAAGCAAAGCTGAGCTCAGACAATGCCCATTTTATACGTCTTTTACTTTGTAGAGGAGTTTGTAAGTAGAAAAATAAATACTTATTTTGAGGACATAAAGGTCTGATAGCAGAATGAGTCACTTACTTAGAGTGGCTTGGTCAGTTTCTGTGACTCTTGACATTTCAAAGACTTTTAAACTTTATTACATTATTTGTATTTTGATTTTTTTATGCAAGAAATTTTGAAAAACACAAGTAGAAAATAATGGGTTGCTTTGGAGTGAAGTCCTTCAGATCCCCAGTGGTGCTGAATGACCAGACAGACTAGCACAAACCTCTCAAGGCAGTTAAAACTAACCAGTTTGGAATCATTTCTCCGCCAGGTTTTGACAGATTCGGTAATGACTCAGAGTTTGAAACTCACCAATTGCACTGAGGTTCCCCTGTACTTTAGGCTCCTACTGTCTACGCCCTTCAGCCTGTCCAGCACAGATGCCCAGAAGAGGACCAAAACATCCCACAGCAAGAAGGAGGAAAAAGAACAGCAACCACAACTTGTACTTTATCCACAGCAAAACATGCTGGTAGGCTCAAAAATAATAATCCTGTGCCAGAATAGATAGTTTAGTAATCGGTGTGTTAGCATGGGCCAGATGAACCACAAGAAAAACACAACCAGTATAGAAATCTCTCTGTTTCAGGGGAAATAGTGGCATATTAGAAAGTGCTAATTACCACAATTTTGCCCGCTATATTGTGGGTACAAAATATTTTTCTACAGTGGCCTTGATTTGCTTTTCTCATCAACTCTGACCTGTTGCAAACTCCTGCAGAAAACCCCATGGTTTTTGGAGCTCACCTAAATCAATAGCCATATATATGCTGGATAAATTAAAAGATTTCCAACGACTGCAGTCCCTCATTTCCTTGAATTAGATGGAGGCAGTGAAAACAGAATAAAATGTGGTTCGTTTGGGGTGTACACAATGACAGTAAAGGAAACAAAGTCCTGGAGTCAAGAATTAGCTAGGGGGCAAAGAATGAGTAACAGTTGCATTTTTGAAGTGTGCTTCTCATTTTTCAGTGTTCATTTTGACATAGAGACACACACGTCTTAATTCTGCCTGCAGGAAGAAAGCAGACTTACATGTTGAAGATGGCTTGGGGAATATGGTATTTGTAAGCTCAGGAATTTAGTACCTTTGTCTTGCTAGAGACTGTTTCTCCCCTGTGGTTCAGAGATCAGCTCTTCACCTTTACACTCCATCTCTGTGCACTGGATTCATAGGAAATAGCTGTGTTTTTTTCTTTAATTATAAGGCTTCGTTCCAGTGGGAATTTGGTTGCTGGCATGACACCTTTGGGTTCCAGTGGGAAAATGTGCGCCTGGGCCTTTGAGCAATGTTTACTTTGGATTTCCTGCACACAGTGTCATCTTATGCGATGGTCATCTGAATTCCTCTTCCCGCAGGTGAAAGTGTCATTCCACACAACTCTGGAGTTACTTAGTTTGCCAGATACCCAGCTGCTTCCTGGATTCCAAGTGCTCCAGTTTGAGAACGGAGAGAGAAAGCTGAAGTTTAATCAAAATCTGGTCATTGAACATAGTAACCGCACTACCCAGGTAAGATCAGAACAAGACCTCTGGGCCCTGAGAAAGGTTTTGTCAGCATCTCTGACTCAGAATAAACATGCCTTAGGATTTACTCGGCTTTGAAACACACCCACCTGTAAATTGTGTCATCTAGTTAAAGTGAATGGCCATGGATTTGCAAAAGGAGACAGCTCTCATATTGAGACTGCAGGTGACTCTCAGACAGACAGAGCGGTTTTGGGTCTGCACCCTGCTGCTCGTACCCCAGCTCTTTGCCCAGCGTCACAGCCTGGATGATGCGGCTCAATCAAAGGGCAACACGCCTGATCACAGCGTGACTCTCCACGTCCTTCTGAGACGTGGGGTCAGGACTGTCTCAGCAAACATGCCAGCGACTGAGTCACCGAGCATTGCCTCCTGCAGTACCCGAGCGCTTCTTTAAAGTCTCCTGAGTCCACCTAACTCATGTGGTGTGGTCACAGCCCACACACATTTAAAAGCCAACCTCTTCCAGATGGAAAGCTATAAACCACTCCTCAAGTCTTCAGCAGTTCCAGTACAGTGCAGGGATGATTTTTTTTTTTCATACCAGGTATTTCTGAGGACTGATCTGTGTGAGATCCGAACACCATATCTAAAATACAGTCAATTTAATAATAATCTTGGGCAATCTGCACAAACTGAATGACTCACAGTGCGCCATATACAGTCCTAAGGGATGACGAGATGCTGTAATGTCTGCATCTCTGCAGAAAACCCTAATAACAAATGAGAATGTTCACTCCGTGTCACTTCATTAAGACCACAGTGTCTGGTTTGAAAACCTCTCCCAAAACAGTAAAACAAGCAGCAACTTAATTCACCCAAAGCTGTAGAATGGGGAATTGACTCTTATTACGAAAGAACACAGAACAACTACTCTTGATTCAGTGCTTGATGCTAAGAATGACACAGCTGTAGCAGGTATTATTAAAGCTCTACAAAAATAAGGTGGAGTTTTTTTCCCCTTTCTCTTTCTTCCGTTTTGCAGCTGGTCCCAGTGACTGCATACCTCACTGTTCCAGTTCTGGAGCTCTCTTGTGACACAGTGGATTTCAAGACCTGCTTTGTTGCACAGACCAAGACCGAACATGTCTTCCTGTGTAACAGGAGTGGCTGTAGAAGTTACTGGACTGCTTTGCTGGGTATTCTGGTTTTGCAATCGGATTTCCTTGTTATATAGTTTCACTGTTCGGTGTTTTTCTTTAGTAAGACTGCATGCACTCACTCAATATATAGCCAATATATGATGATGTTGGCTGCAAATGTATCAGGTCTGCTTCTGTTCTCACTGATACGGGCTTTTTGTTTTTTTCTTTCTTTTGGACATCAGTGTACCTCTACTGATTTCAGCAGTTACTCCAGGTGTAACCAAAAGATTGAATCACAGCCCTCAGAAGCAGTGAACATGCTTTGCTCATTTGTAATACAAATCTGAAGAGACAACCAGAAGCAGTAGCTGCTCATGACTTCAGTTTGAGCTTCTGCCTAATGATGTTAACAACAGATGGGCTGCAAAGGAAAGAAGATCAGGGCCTTATTATTTTGACGTGGAGGCCACTGATCACTCCCCTTGATTAGAGGATGAAAACAGAAGCTGGCCACAGGCATAGAAAGCCCCTGACAGTGCAAGACGTGATTTATTAGCTGGATAGCGAGGAGGCGCATTGAGTGCTACATGCTGTACAAACTTATCCAAAGGGTCTTGTATTGCTTTGTTTGATATTTGCCACTTTCACTGCAGATGAACAGGAAAGGCATAACGACCCGGAGGTATTTTCTGTCTCCCCTACTAATGGCATTTTGGAGGCACGAGAAGGGGACCCACCTACCAAAGAGATTTTGCACATCAGCTTTACTGCAAGGTACAGTTACCAGGACTGAAATCATGCTGTTATTCCCTGGCAAGCCCACATTTATGGTGTGAACAGCCACTGAAAGCAAAGAGCAATTCTGCTCTGTTCTTGGGCTGCTCATTTGGCTTCTAACATTTGCCAGACCTGGGCTTCCAGCTGGTACTTTTTCCATATAACCATGTTCCCTACGCTGCTCCCATATATGGGATTTCTTTTGGATTTGGCACTCGGAATTTCAGACTTGAGATTTACCCACTCGAAACAATGCTGTTCTAGCAGCTGGCATGACACACTAACTATGTACCACCGGAGAAACTCCCTTTCTTTAGGGCAACGTCTTCAACAGAGGGTAAATCTCATCCTGTAATTCAGTGCAGAGGCTGAAAGAACAGTTGAGTCCTTTATGTATCCAGCACTTTATTAGGACAGAGGGAGAAATGTGTCTGGAGTAGTTCAGAATTCCAGTAAAGCGTGTGTTTGTCATGCAGAAAAGTGCAATGTCTTTTGCAGTCAGTCTCCAGGATCCTTCATTATAGTCTTATGTGGCTTCTCTCTAAAAGAAACTTTTTGAAGTCCTTTACTTCCTTCCATGCATTCAGAGCACCTCCTCATGAAGTAAATAGAGCAAAATGTTGTTCTAATGCAGTGATAAAATTTGTTTTACCCTTCCTTAGCCTCATGCCTGAAAGTACCAGAAAGCAAAGACGTTGCTGTATAGCAGTCAGCTCGTCTGTTCAGCTCCAGACAAAGAATTCCTAACACAACAGAGCTCAGGACCAGCATGGCATTAGTAAATAATTATATACAAAGTGTGATGTGATTTTAATAACTCACCTCTCTAAATCAGCGGTCCTCCTGCAGGGGAATTTTTTCCGAGAAGTCAAAAATAAAAGTTGTGTGGCAGAACAGGCTCTTGCCTCAGGCCTTTACAACAGCTGTCTCCTAGACGCAGAGAAGTCCTTCAGATGAACAGTCTCGGGAGTGTTGGGTAGCATCAGCCTAAGGTGAATTGTGCTTCTAAGACCTCCACTTAGTGCAAAACTACACTTGCTGTAAGCTTTTGGATGTTCATTTACAACCTGGACTCCATTGTCTGCCCCTTATCTTGGGGGATTTGACAGAAACTTTTCCATTTCAAACTTTTTCTGTCACGGGGATGAGTTTTCACATCAAGGCAGTGCAGGCATTTGCTCCCAAACACTAGCCCCCAGCAGAGCTTCATTTTATTTATTGAACTAAACCAGAATTTCACGAGTAGGAAGATACTCAAGTTCTTCTTTCAAACAAGTTAATAATCCAATGTCTTTACTTCAGGTACAGACTGGACCGTTCTTTTCAAACATCCTAGATGTAGCCATGGACATGACACTGAAGTGAGATTGCCACGTGCGGGCTCGACACTGACCTTAGAGACCAGTGCTTGTGACTGGGAGCAGCTTATGTCTTAGGGCACCACTCTCCTGTTTTTCCTCCGCAAAGTAACTAATCTCATCCCTGAACACAGAAATGCATCTAGCTTTAACTGAACTGCCTTTTTATTCTGCACTTTAGGAGCGACACTGAATATGAAGCTATCGTGACCATTACTGGAATGCTGGGAGAAAAGCCTTGCAAGCTACAGATCAGGGGACGAGGAACATACGATGAAAAGTATGAAGACCTGTATTTAATTTAAGCAAGACAATGTGGGACAAATGTCAAGGTAATGGGTTGGATGCAATGTGCCATCAGCTGAGCCTGTGTTTTTGTCTACTGCAGTTGTTTTACTATAGACTGGAATTTTAGCAGAATGAAATTTTAAGTTACCAGGAAAAATAAAAGCTCATGGTACTTTAAAGAAAACAGTCATAATCTCATTCTGTGCTATTACCTTTATTGCTGTGATAAGCTTACTATTCCCCACAGAACCAGGCCCTGCAAAATAATCAGTTTTAAATTGCAAAGCAGCTATGGTAACAGTTAGGCCAAAATCCTTTCCATATCACAGTGTGCCTCAAATTACAATTAAAGACTGTTTGTACCTTTAAAAGTAGCTTTTGTTTTGCCTTATTTGTTTGACATTAAAACAGACATTGACACATAATAAAAGCAAGAATTAGTGAATAGGCCAGCATTCCCTGGGCTGTTTCTCACTGCCTTACATGAAAAGGGGAAGAGCCAACTTTTCCTGGCCTCCTTGGAAAATTACCAACCTGCATGTTTCATCCTGCTCGGGTATTGAGAACATCCCCTTCAGCTACGGAGGAAGGAACCCTTCTTCCTTTTAATTCTTTCCCCCCACATGGTTCCCATTTGCTCACACTTCTCTTTAAATGTTTTTAGTATTACTTTAGCTAAAGGTCACTGAAATTCCCACTTCTGAGCCTGTTAAGTTTTCCACTCCCATCACAGAAAAGGTTTTTGTTAAAGGCAGTGTGTGTGGGGAGGAGGGGGCTGCAGTCCACGCTGGAGGAGAACAAAAGATGCACGATGGTGGCCTTCTGCCTTGTTTAAAACAGACCTGTACTAGCGCTGAGAACTCACCTTATACACAGGAACCTCAGTGTGGGAAAACAAAGACCCTTGAAGATGCTAATGCCTCTCTGCCCCCTCTCAGTAATTTCATCTTTTTGCTCTAGGAATAGAGCATGTGCGATTGCTGGGTGAGCGAGACAGGCTGCGGCACAGCAATGTGAGAATATCAAATAGCTCCAACTAATCGTGGCCTTCAGCTAACAATCGTCATAAAAAGAAAACAAATATATTGCAAGAACCCAACTGTATTATTAAGTGCAAAAACAAGAGCCAGGACAAAGAATTTCAGTCTGTGTTACAAATCTAAACTTTTCTAACATGTCAAGGACAATGAATAAGTTTCTTTTTCAAGCCGTTAGCTCTGAGTTTCACTAATCTTTCTCCTCCTAAGAGAGAGCGAGCAGATAAGGGAGAACTTTACAATGTGAAATACGCGTTTGTATTAGCACTGAAGTACTGAGATGTCACTGATGTGCACGTAATGCTGGCAGTAAGGGTAATGCTGAAATCTGTTTTATGTTAGGTAAATAAATATTATTAAGCATAAGCTTGTCCTTGAAGTTAGAGTGATGCAAGCTGATAATTAGAGATGTGTTATAAAAGACTGAATGGCCACTTTCAAATTCCTGGCTTCTAGCAATTCAGCAGAACCTTTGTATTCAGGCACCTCCAGTGTAAATTCCAGCCTGGTCCTTCCACTTTCCCCCACCGGAGGCTTCACAGCACCGTGGTTACAAGTAGAAAGCTACAGCACAACCTCCGGCATCAGAACAATTTAAGACACAGCCAACACAACTTGGATGGGACGGACGTAGTTGTAAAGAAAACAATGCCAAAGTCATAGAATCACAGAATCATTATGGTTGGAAGAGACCTCAAAGATCATCAAGTCCAACTGTATACCCAACGCCACCATGCCCGCTAAACCATGTCTTGAAGTGCCACATCTAAACGTTTTTTGAACACCTCCAGGGATGGTGACTCCACCACCTCCCTGGGGAGCCCGTTCCAATGCCTAACGACTCTGACAGTGAAGAAGTTCTTCCTAATGTGCAGCCTGAACCTCCCCTGGTGCAACTTGAGACCATTAAAGTCTTTGCACTGCTTTCAAAACAAACTGTTCTAGACTTGTTGCAAGATAGTGAAATCTTTTAAGAAAAAACCCTGGAAAAGCCTCTTCATGCTTACTGATGTTTTTGTAATAAAAAAAATACTGTACCATGAACTACTTCTCTCTGATAATATTCACAGAATAAAGGGATCAATTAAATTAGAAATATTCTTCCATAATCACCACTCAAGGGCCTGTAGTTGAACTTCAGCTGAACTAATTTCTCTTCTCATGTCAGGATGCCATTTGCCAGTTTTGCATTTTCCCCACCTGCTTAGCAGATCTGTATGACTTATTCTACTTCACAATTTGTGCCTAAAATTTGCAGATCTAGTAACGTGAATCCACTTGATCTCACAGTGCAAATCATTTGCTATTACTAGAGAAGGCAGAGGATTAGCTGTTGTGTTGTTCCGTCAGTCCACTGGAGTTTAGTTCCCTGGGTACTCAAATACTGCTGCAGCGCCCATGCCGGTTCCAATGCACATGGATACAACACCGTACGCTCTGCAACAAAAGAACATATGGAATTAAGAAAAAGATCAGGTTTAGATCATATGGGGGAAAAAAAAAGCCAAATACAATAAATTTGAGCTACCAACTGCTCTCCTGTGTCACCAAGTGATTCTAACTCCGGAGCAGGTCCAGAGTTCTTGCAGGGTGCTGTTTGCAGAGGATGTGGACACACATTTCTCTGCCCGCTTTCTGGACAGGAGCAGTGGGCCAGAAGCAAGCTCTTCTGCCACCTGCCTCAGACACGCTAGCAGGCAAGTCGAGTTAGAATTGCTAATTGCTTTGATTCGGATGGGTTGAGAAAGACACTCTTCCTTTCCTGCCTGCTACCGCTGCCCTTCACGTGGCTTTGCTATGTAAAAGTTCAAGGTCAATTCAGATAGTCAGATGATGCGCAGTAGGATAAGTGGAAAAACAGAGCAGAAAGCCTGATCGCAGAGCAAGTTGTTCTGCTTCAGTTCGAAGTGGTTTATTGTCACTGCCCCATTTGCCTGGCATTTAACAGCTCGCCACCGCTGTCACCCTCTCCTCTAGGCCAGGGCACAGCTCATCCTACGGTGCAGTCCAGTGACACCACGTGTGCCAGCCCCAAAGGGTGCAGTGACCGAGCCGGCCAGCAGCACCTACCGGGATTTCTTCCACACGTCAGGAAAAGCCCGAGTCCTGGGCAGAGGGCTAGGACCAGACTGTCACAAAGCCTGACTGAGCCCAGCCTTGCAGAGCCGCCAGCCCTCCAGCTCTGACGGCTGACGTAACACTGCACGGTGGAGACGTCTGCGCCGGGGCTCTGCACCACCGAGGGCCAGGAGAGATGCTGCATGCACGGGCAGCGAGACATTACACAGCCCTGCCTCAAGAGAACCTTCAGGAATTCACGTTCAGCGCTACCAAAGGGATGGAGAAAGCTTTGATGTTACTGATGGTTACTTCTGCGCCTAAGTTACTTACATACACGTAAGGCATCAAGGCTGATACTGTTCCTCAGTGCTCACCTTTTCCCTCTGCGCTTCAATTCATTGAGCAAAGTGACAACTTGACGAGCACCAGTACAGCCCAGTGGGTGCCCCAGTGCTATTGCTCCTCCCAGGGGGTTGACCTTCTCCAGGGGAATGCCCAGCTTTTCAACACAGTACACAGCCTAGAAAGACAGAGGGAATGGTTTCAGGGAGATCTCTTGCCTCTGTTAATCCTCAGCTCTCCTGCAACAGAGGCCCGAGAGGCCTGCAGACAAGACTGGGGATCTCGTCCGTATATAAAGAGGGACAGCAAACCACCTTAGGCAGCTCTAGGGGCTTCAAGAGATTTCAGCTTAAAATGCATCTTGCTCAGACTGTTTGTTACTACACAAACTCCACATCATGGTGTCAGCTGCTCTTAAAGTACTAAAGAGGTAGTACTTAGAGGCCTGACTCTAGCTAAAGCATCTTTCCCAGTGGAAAGGAGTGGAACTAATTACAAATCCAAAGCACACAGAAGTGAGCTAAGCCTATCGACTTCATCTCCAACTGAGCCCACGTACTTTCTGAGCAGCCACATTGTAGATTTGTGGAAGACACAGTAGTGAAGTTTCTACCTTTCATTAAGGACCTCCAAATTAGCGAGTGCAACACATTCACACTGACGCCACTCAGTAACAAATTACGGCCCTTGTGAAACAGATTTTGCAAGCTGGTATGAGGATAGGATAGTAAAGATCACATTCTTATTCAATGGACATATTTTTTGTTTGATTTTTTTAAATATTAAGCTGTATAAGCAATGCCCTGCTTATTTTTATTTGAAGGAAAGGGAAAACAGTCTGCGCATGTTCTTAACATTTGGCTGAAGATGTAATACGTAGAACAGGTTCAAATCTTAATTTGGAGACCAAGCTGAAGTACACTCAGCTACCAAGCAACGTAGCAACTCAAACAGGATGATCACTCACCTGGCTTGCAAAGGCTTCATTGATCTCATATATATCAATGTCATTCAGAGTCAGACCTATGGTTCAGAAAAGTCAGGATTTAAAAGGAGATAATTTTCCCACAGGAGATAATTTATATCAAAGAGACTAAGTCACTCACAGCCTTCCTCTATGAATTCCAGTTCTACTCCACTAAAGACAAAAAGAGGGGGACCTTGGCTCCATGTGGGGTATCTACACTTGTATGCATCTTTATGTACAACGTCTAAAGACTGCAAAAGACCACAGTTCACGGTATTGTGACACTGAGTTTGCCAAGTTTGCTTAGATTAAATGTGCTTTCTTTCCAGAGGGATTAAAGATCGAAGGGTATGTCGAGACTGAAGGATAAAACGCCACCATAGCAATGACAGGTGGAGACAATAATAATCATCAGCTATAAAAGCTATTTAACCTGATGAGGATGATAAGAACCCTGAGGAAAGCCCGTTCCACTGGTCAGATGCCAAAATTGTAAAGAAAAAAATAACAGAAAACAAATGTAAAACCCACCCCCTCACAAACCGGTAATACTAAGGAAGAGAAAACTGTACTAAGTGAACACTAAATCACTTGCCACGTGTTAACGGTT